ATCAGCCACCTGCTGGTCGGAAGCTGTGGAAGGTGGAGGGCCAAGGCGGCGCGGCGCGCGGGGAGGGGGGGCAGGGCGGTGGCGCCGCCGCGCGAGGCGCCCCCACGACCTCGGTCATCGAGGCCCCGCCTGCGCCGCGAGGGCCATGGGGAGATTGGCCCTCGCCCCCTCGCCCCCTTCCTTTTCGGTTTCCCCAGCCGACCCCGCGCTGGCCCATCCCTCTTGCCCAACATGTGCTTCACCTCGTCTCGCGTCGCCCTCGAGATGGGGGATCGGGAGGGCAGCGATGATGAGCGGGGCGCAGGCGGGGCCATCAGGCGCAGGATGGCGCCATCAGGCGCAGGATAAGGAAATAGAGACGAGGGGAGAAGGAGGAGGAGGTGAAGGAGGAGAAGGAGGAGGAGGAAGGGTGAGGCACTGAGGAGGAAGATGACGAGTATGAGCAGGGCGAAATGGATGGGGGAGGGGTCGGCACGAAGAGAACGAGGGTCATCGCCCCTCCCCCGCCACGCCCGCCCATCGTTCCGCCCATCTACCCTCGAGCCCTTCTGCAGAGCTGTAGGTCGTTCCACCCCCTCCCTCCCTCCATCCATCCATCCCCCTTCCATGTACCACCCGCGCCGCAGAAACGGGTAATGCTGATATAGTCTGAAAGTCGTGCCGTCGTGGGCCCCGCGCCGTGAGCTGCTGCACTGTGGATGCACAACGCATTCTTGACGCTTCCCGTATCACCGCCAGCCCATCCAGACAAACAACGCCCAAACGAATTGATCTGATTTAATCAACAAACAAAGAATAAAAATAACAAAGCGAAGTGCAAAGAAAAAAAAAAAAAAAAAAATCACAAACACCATAACAAAAGAAAAAAAATCAGAAAAAAAGACAAAAAAAAAAGAACAAAAAGATCAAAAACAAGAGACAAAAAAAAAGAAAAAGGAACAACAGCAAAAAGAAAAAAGAAAAAATATAAAAACAACCAAAGAAAAAAAGAAAAAGAAAAACCGGACAAAAAAAACAGTAAAAAAAAAAGATAGAAAAAAACAGGAGCAACAAGCAAAGAAAAGTAAAAAAAAAAAGAAAAAAAAAGGAAATTAAAAAAAATAAAAAAAAAAAAAAGAAAAAAAATGCAAAACTAAAGACGTGCAAGAAGCCCGCAAAGAGGAGGGGCGACCGTCATCGTTCGAAGGAGGCGAGGATCAGGAGAAGGAGGTGTAGGATGAGGATGCGGGGGGACTAGGCAGAGGGAGAAGGGGAGGGAGTAGGCGGATGTGGGGGGCGATGATGATGAGGAGGAGGAGGAGGAGGAGGAGGAGGAGGAGGAAGAGGAAAAGGAGGAGAAGGGGTAAACTCAGCCTCTTGACTGCATCTCGGGGGTCACCTCGCACGTCTTGGTCAAGGCGTTCGGGGTGCAGGTTGGGGCATCTTGGCGGACCCATCGGCGTCTCTGAGCGTCCTGAGTGCCTCGGTGATCATATGAAGGCTTCTTGGGGGGTCGTTGGGAGCCTCGGGGGCCGCCTGGGCGCCTCTCGGGGCCGCGCGGTCGCATCTTGAGGGCCCTCGGGGGTGCCCCCGGGAGCTATGAGGTCGCGGTTGGGGTCATCCTGACGGACATCGATCACGCGAGAGTGGAGCTTCAAACAGACCCACCCTTAGGACACCACAACAACGCCGTTTGGAACCCTCCTTGGGCGCTCGTGGGCGCTCGTGGGGCTGCTGGAGCTCTCCTCGGTCCCTATTGGGGCCCTCTTATGCCATCATGCGGCCGCCTCGAGGCCTCGGATGACCATCGGACGCGGGAAGGCGAGGCAACCAAAACACACAGTGTGATTTTCCAGGTTGGTGGATGAGTGTGGCTTCTCGGTGGTTTCCTCGCGGGCCTCCTCGGGAGTCTCGGATGCCACCTGGAACAGTCCTGGTGCGGTCTTGGATAGTCTTGGGTAATCTTGGAAACCATATCGGAGTATGTTGGGTTATCTTGGGCCATCTTGGGGGCCATCTTGGGCTCTCCGAGGCCCCCCTGGAGCCGCGCTGTGCCATCGTAGACGCTCCAACGCCTCGCCGCCCCCCCCTCCCCGCTCAGGTAGAAGAGGGTTGGAAGGGGAGGCCTCGTATACCACCTACGCCCTGACGGACTGGTGGGATGGCGGCCGCAAATGTTGGCCATCGTGGACCCCAAACAGTGACGTATTTGGTTATGGGTGCATATGCGATGTTGTGCAATATATGTGGCCCAACGCGCATGACGGGGGCGATGCGAATGAACATTATGCGGTACCATCACGCTGGTAACGCAATCGTGCAACCTATACTTTTTGAACTGGGATTAACAACACGTCGGCGCGAATAATTGCGATGCCAACTACGCATTGTATGCATGCTATGCTAGCTATGTCGCGCAAGTCATGTTATGTCCGCTACAGTCTGAGGGGTTCGGACACATCGGCCGAATGTCTGAGTTTCGGGGCGGCGAAACTCGGACGCCGCGACTGGTGTCTCAGTTCCGCGCAACCGAAACTCAAGCATTACGTGTGTGTCTTAGTTTCAAGCGACGAAGTTCCGACGCCCTTACCGAATGTTTGACCTTCGCGCTGCAAAACTCAGACTCCGCGACTGGTGTCTTAGTTTCGCGCGCCCGAAGCTCGGACGCCACGACTGGCGTCGTAGTTTCGCGAGCTCGAAACTCAGACACCCCGACCAAATGTCTGCATTTCGCGAGCGAAGCTCAGACATCACGGCCCCATGGCTGAGTTTCGCTGGCCGAAACTCAGGCATCGCGGCCAAATGTCTGAGTTTCGCGGGCCGAAGCTCGGACATCACGGCCCCATGTCTGAGATCCGCGGGCCAAAACTCAGACATCGCCACCAAATGTCCGAGCTTCGCGGCCCGAAACTCAGACATCGCGGCCCCATGTCTGAGTTTGGCGGGCCAAAACTCAGACATCGCCACCAAATGTCAGAGTTTCGCGGCCCGAAACTCAAATATCGCGGCCCCATGTCTGAGTTTCGCGGGCCGAAACTCGGACAGCGCGGCCCCATGTCTGAGTTTCGCGGCCCGAAACTCAGACATCGCCACCGAATGTCCGAGTTTCGCTGCCCGAAACTCGGACATCACGGCCCCATGTCTGAGTTTCGCGGGCCGAAGCTCGGACATCACGGCCCCATGTCTGAGTTTCGCGGCCCGAAACTCAGACATCGCCACAGAATGTCCGAGTTTCGCGGCCCGAAACTCAGACATCGCGGCCCCATGTCTGAGTTTCGCGGCCCGAAACTCGGACATCACGGCCCCATGTCTGAGTTTCGCGGCCCGAAACTCAGACATCACAACCGAATGTCCGAGTTTCGCGGCCCGAAACTCAGACATCGCCACCGAATGTCCGAGTTTCACGGCCCGAAACTCGGACATCCAAGGACATTCCAAGGACATCCAAGGACATCCAAGGACATCCACGGACATCCAAGGACATCCAAGGACATCCAAGGACATCCAAGGACATCCAAGGACATCCAAGGACATCCAAGGACATCCACGGACATCCAAGGACATCCAAGGACATCCAAGGACATCCAAGGACATTCCAAGGACATCCAAGGACATCCAAGGACATCCAAGGACATCCGAGGACATCCAAGGACATCCAAGGACATTCCAAGGACATCCAAGGACATCCAAGGACATCCGAGGGACATCCAAGGACATCCAAGGACATCCCAGAGACATCGCACGGACATTTCGCAGACATCCAAGGACATCCAAAGACATCGAAAGACATCCCAAGACATCTGCAGACACGCAGAGACACCGAATCGCACCCAGAAACCATGGGAAACCTATGGGAAACGTTTGGAAACGCTGGGAAACCGCTGGAAACAGTTGAACACCTCAATGAAACATAAGAAAACCTGCATGAAACCAACAAAAACAATTGGAAACCCATGCGAAACATGTATCAAAACGTCGTGAAACTGGTTGAAATCCAACGAAATGTACGTAAAACTATGGAAAGCCATTGCGATTTGAAACAATGTTTCTCATGTAAGCTTTACGGATTTGAGTTTCGCTGTGATTTTAAAGGTTTTGCACGATTCCCGCTGGTTGCTCAAAATTTCAGTCGGTTTCTGTTGGTTTCATTGAGTTTACGCTTGGTTTGCGATGTTTCGTTTGGTTTTCGCAAAGTAGCGCGAGTTTTGGCGAGATGCGGGCGAGGCGGCCGCGCGGCGAAACCTCGGTCGACCCGCCATGCGTGCAGGGCTCCCGCGCGGGCCCGCGCTGCGCCTCGGGTCTTAAACGTGTGAGGGGCGTGCACCAGTGGCGAGATGGCGGCGCAAATCATTTGCTCGGGGAAAAGCGGGGCCATGACTTTCGGTGGGGCCCCCCTTAGCCACGCAGCGACGGGGGGCCCGTCACGGGGCCAGGGCGCGCGCGAGGGGCGTACCAGAGTGGCGGTTTGGGGCATGGCGGCGTGCCCACTGGAGCCGTAGCGCTGGGGCATGGGAGCGTTCCTGCCGGGGCCTCCGATGGCCCCCCGTGGAGCCGCGAGCGCGTGAGTGGTGCACCGCAGTGGCGGGTTGGGGGCAGGGGGGCTCATCGTTGGGACCTCCGATGGGGCTCCCTATGGGTGGCGTGGAGCGTGCGAGGGGAGTGCGCGAATGGCGGGGACTCGATGCTGGTGGCGGTGGCGATGTTGATGACGACGAGGGCATGCGGAGGGCAGGCGGAGAGCAGGGGGTCATGGAGGAATGAGGAGACACGGGGCGATGCGTGTTCAGTGCATGAGAGGATCGAACGCCACTGGATGGCTGGGAACAGCGCGGGCCCCAGTGCAAGCAAACGTTTGGGAGACATCCAGGGTCGCGTGTGTGAGCCCATTGCCATTTGCAGCTTATGGCCTACAGGGCCTGGGGACACATCCCCCTCCATCCCTCTTCGCCCACGCAGCCGCTGTTGGTCGAGGGATTTGAGCTGGCAGCTTGGCGTGCCTCGCTGGTTCCCTCCTGGCGCAGGCTCGCCACGTCGCGGGCGACCGCCGAGCCATGTCCGTGGTTTCGGCGACCGTGGCGTCCGATCCGATGGAGCTGGAGAAGCCGTACTTCCCTAAGAAGCGGGGCCCGAAGAGCAAAGCCGCCAAACGGGCAAAACAGGCTGCCGACCGCATGTTCACGCGGCACATGAAGGAGCTGAAGAAGTTGGCGAAGTGTGACACCGAGAATGAGGTCACGCCCGAGGCGAAGGAGTTCATGAAAAAGTACACCAGCACTCACAGCTCCACGGTGATATGGGGGCAACTCCTGATCCCCGACCCAATATCAACGAGGACGACGACGACGACGACAACGACAACGGCGGCGACGATCGACGAAGACGACGACGACGACGACTACAACGACGACGACGACGACGACGACGACGACGACGACGGAGAGAGGCTAAGAGAATGAGAGAGAGAGAGAGGGAGAGATATAGAGAGAGAGAATAAGAGAGAGAGAGAGAGAGAGAGAGAGAGAGAGAGAGAGAGAATGAGAAAGAGGGGGGAAAGAGAGACTCTCTCGTTCCCCCCTCTTTTCTCATTCTCTATCTCTCTCTCTCTCTCTCTCTCGTTATATCGCTCTCGCTCCTCTCTCTCTCCCTCTCTCTCTCTCTCTCTCTCTCTCTCTATCTCTCTCGCTCTCTCTCTCTCTCTCGTCTCTCTCTCTCTCTCTCAATCTCTCTCTCTCTCTCTCTCTCTCTCTCTCTCTCTCTCTCTCTCTCTCTCTCTCTCTCTGGGAAGGAGAGAGAGAGAAAAAAAAAAAAAAAAAAAAAAAAAAAAAAAAAAAAAAAAAAAAAAAAAAAAAAAAAAAAAAACGAGAGAGAGAGAGAGGAAGAGAGAGAGAGAGAGAGAGAGAAGAGAGAGGAGATAGAGAGAGAGAGGAGAGAGAGAGAGGATAGAGAGAGAGAGAGAGAGAGAGAGAGAGAGAGAGAGAGAGAGAGAGAGAGAGAGAGAGAGAGAGGGAGGAGAAGAGAGAGAGAGAGAGAGAGAGAGAGAGGGAGGAGATGCTATCGATGCAATTCCCGGGGTCAAGAGCAACCCCCGAGACATGTGGGCCCGCTGCGAGAAGGACTTCACCGCTGCTGGGACGGTGCTCCTAGTGAGGAAAACCATGTGGCACCGCGGCCGACTCACTAAGACTGACCACCCCGCGCGGGGGTCGGGGCGGAACGGGGCTTCGGCAGGGGCGTTGGGAGAGGCGGGGGAGGGGCGACGGCAGCATAAGTGGGTGAGCGCAGGCCTCAGGCAAGGACGGGCACTGGAGCTCTGGAGGCAAAAGTGGATGATAGGCCAGGCGTGACCAGGCTCATCCATGGATTCCTCCCCATGTCCTCCGCTGCCGCCACCCCTCCCCCAATTCCCTCCACGCCGAAACCCCGCCGCCGCCCCCTCCCCCGAAGGGGCGGCTCGCCATGGTAAGTCGGCCTCGGCCCAGGCAGGAGACAACTACTGAGGGGGAGTGGTTCACCCCCGAGCAGCTGGGCGACATGCTCAAATGCAAGGAGAAGTCAGGCAACTACCAGGCGTGGGCCACCAAGAACGGGCTGAAGAAATGGAGCGACAAGTACAAGAGCTCCGTGTACTACCACACTCGCAAGTTGGAGAAGTTCGGCAGAAGGACTCCCGCATGTGGAATCCCTGCGCCACGCCCTCCCTGCCTCTTCAACCTCGTCTCGGCTCTCGAACCGCTCGTCGTCGCCGTCGTGCGCCCTCCCGCTCAGACCCCGCGCCCGCATGCGCGTTCCTTCTTGGCCAGTGCTCGTCGCCCGCCTCCTGGTGCAGACGCGCCCGCCGAGTCGGATTGCGATTGACGGCGCAAGGGTAGAGTGGGAAAGCGATCGCGACGGCGACTGCGGCGTTGCCGACGGCGACCGTGCTGCGATGGCGTCGACGACCCCGCCCCCCGAGGAAGGAGGGCATCGAGGAGCATGGCGGCACAGTGCCTGAGCAGGGCGGCACCGATGGCGAGGAACCAGATGACTTGGGCTTGGACGAGGAGACCGAGGAGGAGCCCGCAGACGAGGGCTGGCACGACGACTGGTACGATCAGGATGACTGGGACGAGGAGCACGGCAAGAAGAAGAAGGCCAAGAAAAAGCATAACTCGTCAAGCAGCGAGTCGACCAGCATGAGCAAGAAAAAGAAAAAACAAGAAGTGGAAGAAGAAGGACGCCGACGAGAACGTTAAGAAGTACAAGAAAAATAAGAAGCGCTGCAGCGATGATGACATCGGTCAGCCAGACAAGAAGAAGCGCAAGAAGCACGACTCAGCTTCCTCGAGCTCGGATGGCAAGAAGGCGAATGATAAGGCCAATGACAAAGGGAAGGACAACGGCCAGGACAAGACCAAGAGGAAAGACAAGGACAAGAAGAAGGACAAGGGCAAGCGGAAGGGGAAGGACAAAATGAAGGGCAAGGACAAGAGGCGGAAGGACAGGGACACCGACAAGAGCAAGGGCAAGGTGACCGACAAAAAAGACAAGAAAGAAAAAACGAATAAGCCTGACAGCGAGGACGACGCCCCCAGCGCCACGCCCAAGCAGAAGGTGATGCCAAAGGGCAAGGCGAAGGCGGCGGCTGCAAAGAGCAAGGCGAAGGCGGCGAAGGCGAAGTCGATCGCTGCTGCCAAGGTGCACCCGAAGGACGAGGAGTCGATCGCTCAAATGTGTTCCCTCCTATGCTCGTTCTTGTTCAGCCGTATCCTCCGCCCCCGTCCACTCCATCTCATTATCGTATCCCCCTGCGCCCCCTCCCCCACACTCCCGCCCTAACTCCCTCATCCCTCATCGATCCTGGTCTCCACCCCTGTTCTACCCAAGTCCATCTCAGCAACGACTCATGTTGCAAGACCCCCTAACCCGCCCCCCATCCTGCGAAGGCCGCTGGAGTGGTAACGCGGGAATTGAACCGATGGATGAGGCCATCCCATGGCCCGCGCCCATCGGTTCGCACCCCGCCCCCTCTCCCCTCCAGCGGCGGTCGCAAGAAAGGTGGCGGGCCTTCTCTGCCAACAAGGGGGGCGTGCATCGAAAAGCGTTGAGCCCGCCGGGAGAGGACAGCTCTTCGTCGTCCTCGTCGAGTTCATCGACTGGCAGCGATAGCGAGTGAGGGCGCCAGGTACGTCGAGTACGCGTGGGGGTGCCATGCGGCTGCAGTGATCGAGAGCGGCTACCTGTCCCTGTCAGTCGGCGACGCGTTCGCTGCCTGCGTGGGCGGCGGGCGGCCACGCAAGTAACTCACGACCACGGCGATCGCTCGATTCGCACCCGCCCCTGCCCCCACCCCCCGCCAGGCCAACGATGTGAACAATGAGGGGCGCCCCCCCCCCCGAGAAATAGTGCCCCGCGCCACCCCATCCCGAGCGGGTGCCGAATCACGGTGGCGTCCGCGGTTGTAGTTGTTTCGGTCGGCGCTGCAAGCTGCACTGCGGGTTTGGCGCATTGTTCAAGCTAATGCTTAGTTCTTGGCAATGCAGTTCCGTTTCAAGCTGGGCCGAGACGCCATGTGAATGTTGCGCCGTGGCCCGCGCTTTTCTTCGAGAGCGGCTGGCTGTTGGCTAGCATGCGCAGGTGGCATGTTGCACGTTGTCCGCCCTCATCGATTCCAGGGGAGCTCTGGACATGCAAGCAAAGTCCCACCTCCAACGCCCGCCCTTGGCACCGTGGAACGAACATTGGTTTCGGCCGCGGGTCGCGGGGTGGGAAGCGGGCGGGCCGCGAAACTGGTCGCGGGTGTGGCGGCGCCAAACAACGGCAACGACCGCACCGACAACAACGACAAACACAACAAGAACAACAAGAACAATAACAATAACACTAACAACAACACCAACAACAACAACAACAACATCAACAACAACAACACCAACAACACCAACAACACAAAAACAACAGCACACCACCAACAACAACATCAGCAGAAACAACAACAACGCACAAAACACAAACAACGACAACACCAACACCCACAACAACAACAACAACAACAACACCAACAACAACATCAACAACAACAACCTCAACAGTAGCATCATCAATAATTCTGGCTGTGGGGGCACGCCTCGGTCACTCGCCCAGAGGGAATGAATGGCCGCTCCCCCCCCCCCGTACCCCCTTACTCTGATGTATGTATGCGTCCATGCAAATATGCAACTATGTATGTATGTATGGATGGATGGATGGATACACGTGTACGTGTATGTGTATGTGTATGTGTTGTATGTGTATGTACATGTTCAGGTGTACATCTAGATATATGTATAGCTCGCGATGTTGATCGTTTCAAGCCAACGGCCACCCCTGTCCAACCAGCCCCGATAGCAGCGAGGCCCGCAATTGTTTGCGCAGTGTGCCTGCCCCGCGGCGGGAGAGGGGCGGAGCGGTGCAAGAAGCACGATTGCCAGAGGTTGGCGGCCGTCCACTCGCTGCAGACTCGCTCGCCCGCCGTTCTGGCATCTCGCGCGTTCCCCCGTCGGTTCCATGGCTCGCTCGAGGCCGCGACGACGCCTGGGTAGCCCCAAATGGTTCGCACTGATGTTCCGCATCGTCCCCGTAGGTGCCCCCCCCCCTCGCCCTGCCAATGACCCCCCATCTTGCCTCTTGCTCGAGTCGCAGCCTTGCGCTGTGGGAATACTGTCAAACAACAACAATGCGGGTGGTCACCTTTCCAAGGGTACCCTTGCATCCAAAATGCCAATGTGGCCTCCCGAAGCCCATGCATCCGTGTCGTGTGTCCGCTGCCGCGCGTCATGCAGTCGGCGCCAGCAAGCAATGACAGCAATGAAATAATGCAGACGGTAGCTGCGCCGCGTCGAGAGCATCCAGCGACGTGTGTCTTGCGCGCTCTCGGATGCCCAATCACGCAGGTGCAAGTTTTGCAGCGTCGTCGCTGATGGGTGACTGTTCCCGCTCCGTAGCTATCTTGGTTCAAGCATCGAACTCACGCATTGCGCGGATTTGTTAGCTTGGTCGTCGGATTAGCGGCCCAGCCACTGGTGATTCTGCAATGGGGAAGGCGAACCACGATCGCCATGTTTTCAAGAGGTTCAGGAAATCGGCGGGGGAGCTGTTGAAGGCAGCGAAGTTCGTCGGTACCAGGCGTGACAAGAAACTTGCATCAGCTGCTCTGCGCAACAACGCTGATACAAGTGACTATCCGAAGATGCTCAGACATACACTTCTCGGCCTGTTTTTTACTGGTGAGCTTACCGCTACACTGCTCGTCCGATTGTGTTTTTTGATTACGCGTGCTGGCGGCGACGGCGTGAGCGATCTCGGGCGCGAGCTGCAGTACGAGAGCAAGAACGCGTCGAGGCTTGTTTGCAAGTGCCTGGGTGGCGACGACATCCGCGCCAACCTCATCAAGTCTCGACGCTTCGCGCACCCCCGCCAGCTCATCCAGAAACGAAGCCCATGCGAATTGAGGCGATGGGTGAAACGTCGAGGTAACGAGAGGCACAGCCGAACCGTTCGGAGGATGAGGATAATGAGGATGGGTGGATGGATGATGGAGGAGGGAGAAGGCTGATGAACCTGATGAGGATGGTGAGGAGGGGGAGGAGGAGGAGGGCGACCAAAAGGGCCAAAAACCTCTTGGCCGCCTCTCGGAATCACCTGGGACGTATGGTGTGCGCTGTTTGGATGCAGCTTGAACCGTCTCTGGGGTCTATTGGCGGTCCAGTGGGGTTATTGGGCGTCGTGGGTGCCTCGCTGACAGTGGGGTGGTGGTGCCCTGGGGGTCGCGTGGGATTCTTCTTCTTGGGCGCCCCGTGGGGGTTCTCTTGGGGCAATCGTAGGGCATCGTGGGGCATCTGGGGTGCCTCTTGGACGCCTCTGTAGAGTTCCTTGGAGCTGTCTTGGAGTCCACGGGCGCTCTATTGAAGCCATCTTGGATGGCATCGATCAAAAAAGGATGGGTGCCTTGCTTAGCGTTGCCCCTTGGGATCCCCGACAGTCTCCTCCGAGGGCGCTCTTAGGCGCCCGTGCTTGGAGCGCCCTTCGGCACTCTTGTGCAGAGGGCTCCTTTGGGCATGTCCTGGGACGATCTTGGGCCATCTGGGAGCCGTCTTGACGCATCGGAAGCCCATCGAACGCAAGCGGGCGATGACGCACTCGCCATGGCGTTCTATTAAGTGGTTGAAGGGGGTTGGCACCTCGGTGGCGTCCTTTGGAGGTCCTGGAGGCATCTTGGAACCGCATTGGGGCACTCTTGGGGCCCCTTGGAGCATCTGGAGGGCAATGTTGAGGCATCTTAGGCTAACTGTGAGAGTTTTGGACGTCACATTGGGTTCCCTGGGGCCCTCTTGGAGCAAGATTGGGCCATGTTGGCCGCTCCAACGCCCCGCCGCCCCTCCCCGCCCCATTGTCCAAGTCCAGGGGAGGGGTGGGAGGAGGGGTAAGCCCCTCCCCGACTGTGGTTCGCGGGGGTTGGAAGATGAGCCCCGTAGGCCACGTACGCCCAGAGGGCTGGTTAGATTTCACGACGTTGCCAGTCAACTCGAAGAAGGGCCGCCGTGCGACGAGGCAGCACGTGGCAACGGTTCCTTTCTACGAGGTGTTGGCTATGTCGTTCAAGGATGATGAGCGCGCCCTCCTGATGCACAGGGGCCAGCCTGAGCTATTATGCAGCAATTTCTATGAGCACGACTTGGTGCGCCAGGTCGGCCCCGAACTGTGCATACCAGCGCGCCTGTTTATAGATTATGCTAAGCTGGACGGCCAAGCAACAACGCTTAACATACCCAGGCTGTGCCACATCCCGCCTGCACGGTTTGTGCCTACATTTGTATATGTATACACGCATACATACATGGATTGGCATATCTACATAGCAAACAAACGACCAAACTCAATTTGCACGTGCACCCACACGCGCCCGCGCCACCAAATGCTGCACCCCTTTTCACACGCTGCGTGGCCGCACAGGGAACTTAGCCGAAGCCAGCTGTGGCGACAAACCGCATGCGACCGTGCCGTCAAATTCGGCACACTCCCCACACGCTTCGTGGCTCCATAACGAGCCCACCGAATGCCTCAATGGTGCAGACCCGTCACACGCTTCTTGGCCCCACAGGGAACCCCGCCGAAG